CTCCTCCCTGCCTTCGTCCTCCTTCCTCTGGCCCGGCGGCGCTGAGCGGGACTACTGTCTGCACAGCGACGTCCAGGACCACGGTGCCGCCTCCCCACACCGCCCCCTGCACTGAGGGATGGACGGATGCCCACTCCTTTCTCCTCTGTTGTTCCAACCCTTATGTAAACTAGACTAGGAAACACAAAAAGAGCTACCAGAAGTTTAAAAACAAAACGTAAATTTGTGTGCCATGTTTTTCTAGCCAAAATTAACCTTGCCCTCACCCTGAACCCACAGTCTTTTATCTTTTCCTCCCATGTGGCGAGAACTCCCTTTGGTGAGACGCACTTATGCATTTCTCAGCAGTCAGACTGGGCAGGCCCAAGGGAGGACAGCCGGGCCACCTGTCTCTCCCCCCATTCCTAGTGTCCCACACGTGGCAGGTGCTCACAGACATGAGCCCGCACGAATGCACAACCACACTCCTCTGCTCTCCTGCCCATCACATCTAACACTGTCTCCAGTCCTAAGGAGACACAACACTCATGGTTCTTTCTCCAGACTGCAAGTCCTGATGGCAGAGCAATGGGTTTTACCTGACTTGTGCCCTGATCACCAAGTGCTTTGGGTAAGCCAGGCCCCTGCATGCAGTCACGTAAGACAGGGTCCCTGTTCTCAGGGGTTCAAGGTCCACACAAAAAGCCTCTGGTGGGCTGGCTGGTTAGCTTAGGTGGTTACAGTGCAGTGTCAAAACACCAAGTTCCAGGGTTCAGATCCCTGTACTAATCAGCCACTAAAAAAAAAAAAAAAAAAAAAAAGACCCTGAGGAGGAGGGGCTGGGGTCAGGATTCCTGTGTCTGGGAGAAGAGGCCATTGGAGGCCCAGACTCCTGGGGCTGAGGGAGGACTAGATTTGGGGCTCATCTCCAGTTTGCACGATCTAAGGCTTGGGGGCGTGGTTTCTTGGTGGGGTTGGAGATCTGAGGATCTTTCAACTGACATGATTGTAAAAGTTTTTTTCAAAGATAAAAAGTGAAACTTCTCTACTGCAAACCCACTCACCAGAGGCTGCCACTGTCAACAACTTGGTGTGGACTTTTAACTGCATGCCCACATACACGCATTATGGGTAAATATGCTTTTTTCACTCTTATTTGTCTCATAAGTAGTCTCCCTCCACCCTGCGCAAAAAGCCATGACCTCTGACCACGCTCACCCACAGACTGGCCCCTGGGCTCTGCAGACCCCACCCATCACAGAGGGAAGCCAGCAGGAAAAGTCCTCTGTCCATCTAGGGTCACGGCCCTTGAGGTTGGGAGTGCAGAACAGTCACCTGGGAGAAAGCCCACAGAATGCAGATTTCCAGGGCTCACTCCCTAGGGTCAGGGCCGAGGGCCGGGAATGCACATTTTAAACAGGCACCTCAGCTGATTCTGATCAAAGACACAGAACACATCTTGAGAAATGAAGAGGTAAAACTATGGAAAGCTGTTTCACAGCTTTAAACTGATTAATATTTTAAACTGTTTCATAATTAAATTGATGTGGTTAACCAAATATGAGCTTATTCAAAATGCTTAATGTCCCTGTTGTCCTTTTATTTGGATTGCCCCCTTCACCACCAATATTTATTATAAAAAATATAAAAAGTACTGAAAAGCTAAAATAATTGTATCACACGCACCGCTTACCTTAGGTTTCTACAATTAACATTTTGCTGTATTTGCTTTATTATGTATCCATCCTTCTAGCCATCTCTCCATCCACTTTATTTCTATTTTTTGGATGTGTACACCTCATACTTAAGGTCTTTCCTAATCTAACATTTCAACAACTCCAGGTCAACCTCAATTCACAGATGCATTTCTGCATGGCACTGTGTGCTTTCAATTGCTTAGAAATTCTTCTTAAGGAATCTCATGGCAAATCCCTTGGAAATGTGCATCACTATACCCTGAAAAATCTGAATTTTTATATAAAGCTGGACTTATTTATTAAAACGCAAACACAGGCCCAAAGTCACCTGTGAATTAAGGCAGCATTGGCCCCTTGACACGAAGCCCACTTAGCACTAGGGGGACAGACTGACCCAGGCCCCTGCTTCTGGGGGAGGGGGTCTGACCTCGATCCCCCTAAGGCCTAGACAGCACTTGGCTTTCATCCCAGAGCAACCTGTCTGGAGGTCTCTGAGCTGCATTCCAAGTTAACTCCAACACACACCTGAGTGCTCAGGCAGGCGGCAGCCAGGGGAGGCCCTGCCCCCGCACTTGGCCTCTGTAGGCATCTGAGAAGGTAGGGGGTTCACAGCAGCTCAGCAGCTGCTGCTATGTGCATGCAGAGAATGCAGTGCTGCCCAAAGCCAGCCCCAGACCAGCACCAGATGTAATTCCCTCACAAAGTGCTTCCCCAACACCTCCTTGGGGCCAGGGTTAATTCTAGACACTGAGAACATACCCGTGAACAACACAAACCACACTCCTGTCCAGGGGCCTTATTCCCATGGGATTGGGGGAAGCGCTGGTAGAAAGCGAGGCTGGAGCCAGGCAGACTTGGGTCCACGCAGCCCAAGGGAGCTTCTGAAATACACAGCACACACCCCCAGCCCCCACCTGTCAAACATTTGATGGGACAGTACCCTACACATGTTCTGAGACTAGGCCCTGGAACCCCCTCCCGCCGCCCCACTCACCTCTGGACACTCCAGGACCTCTTGACCCTAACCTTGTCTCCGGGCTCCTCACACACGTTGCTTTCTCGGGCTTCCAGGCCTTCACTTCTCCCTGTGCATGGCTTTCCCTGCCTGGTTAACGCCTCTTTACCATTTCAGACCTCACTTTCAACAGGGCCTTCCCAGGACAGCCTCCCCTGCCCCCACCCCCAGTCTGGGAGAGGGGCCCTCCCATGGCCCCCAGCACAGCACTTCACAGTGCTGCGTCATAACACTGAGCTCGCCTGCAGCCTCTCCCCAGACAGCAAGCTGTGCGAGGACCAGGGGTCTCCCCATCTTCTCCTTCATGCGGCTCAGTTAATGAAGGAGGCAAAGTCACTCATAAACAGAAGGGTGTCAGGCCTGCCAGAGGGGCAAGGGAGGGGATCACGAATTGTCCCAGGCATCCCATGAGGACTGAAGACACTTCCCGAGGCTGCTGTAACTACTCCAGTCCCAGCACAAGCGCACATGCACTCCTGTCCTCACTGTTCATCCGAGTCCTGATGTCGGGGCATCCAAAAAGAGAGCGATTCTCTCCCCCCTGTAGTGACCTGGACCAGCCCAACCCATCAGCCAGCCTTGGCCACCTAGCATCTGCAAACCCACGTGGGCGTCACCACCCACCCCTGAGGAAACGTCTCAGGTGACAGATGCTATTTCTCTTCTATAAAATGTAAGGCATTGCTAACCTCATGGTAACGTTTCACTGAAAATTATTATCCATATGAAAAATATGGCTATGACTAGACAGAGGCGTGAAACTTAAGAACGTGGAACAGGAGTCTCACATGAACCCCTCTAAAAGTCTGCGAGCTCCTGTCGAAGGGAGCACAACTTGTTTGTTCCTAGATCCGCTGCTCCTGGTGCAGGGGTTGGTAGCATCAGGGCAGGCACCGAGACGACGTGTCTGCGTGACTGAGCAAGGATGCTCAGACAAGGCCTGGAAAGAATGCGGAAGCTGGATCCTCCTAAAACCCACCCACCCCCCACGGCACAGAGTGTCGGGTTGGGACGTGGGAGTCGCACTCCATTTGTGACTGCGCTTTGGGGCTGCACAAAGTTCCCAGTGTGCAGAAGGGGCTACTGAGGCAGCAGTCTGCGGAAGCGTGTGTGTTGTGGTCCCCGACCCTCCCACCTGTGTCATTTCCAGTAAGGGACAAAGCTCCATAGGTACACACCCATGTCCTGGAACCTGCCTGTGCTAGGGATTTATGCCTCTCTTGATCAGCAGGGCCAGTGGGCCGTTTCCAGGACAAAGCCAAGACTGGTCTCCCCTCCTGCCCCCGGCTCAGGCCCAGGCTGCCTATACCCAACACCAAGGGCGCCTTCCCAGTAGGGGGCAAGGTGAGTCACCCTGGGGCTCACATTCCTCAGGGGACACTCCCTGAGCAGGTTTGAGGCACAAACAGGCCCTCAGCCGCAGCCTTCTCCACCCCGCCTCCCAGCCCAGGGACTTGAGGGCCTGACGACAGCATGACAGCAATTCAAGTTCTCCAGCCAACAGCCCTCCTAAGCAAGCCTGCTGGCGCTTTGGCAGGAGCCCTGCAGCAGGGAAAGGGGCAATACCGTGCTCCCCAGATCTCCAGTCGCTGCAGAAGCCTCCTGGCCATCAAGAAGAGGTGTCAGGATGATTGTTTAGCATCAGACACATCACGCAATATGTACCGACATCCTGATCTCACCGAGCTCTTTGAGCAGAGTGAGTTCACACAGGTAAACAGAACCACGTCCAAATCCCCTGGGATGGACAATGGGGGCAAGACTCCCAAATCCTCAGAAAAGAATGTCCTGGAAGCCACTGCAGATATGAGGCCATGGGGGTGAGTGATCCAGGCATCAGTGACCTCACCTGGGTCTGGGTCTCACCTACATTGACCTGTGACCTCAATATGATTTAAAATAAAGACTGTTAGAGCAGCTTCCACTATGAGGGCTTACTACAGGACTTGCCCAAACACAAGTTGCTGCATAGGTATTTTTATTATTATTGCTATCTTACAGATGAGGAAACTGAGTCCTAGCAAATTAGCCACAGAAATTGCAAGATGTCTTAAAATACACAAATAGAAGGTCATCACTGTAGCATGAAGTAGAAGGAAACCCTAAAAGGAATCATTGCCCTCTGTCATCTAACCACATTCCTCCCCTCAAGCAGCTGGCACTGTGAGACAGGAAAGGAGCAAGCGAGAGGCCCTTTGGGGACATCCAGACAGGCTGAGGTACAGGGAAGCATCTGCTGTAGAAATCTCATAGCTCCTCTCCCCAAACACCTCCAACGACAGGCCAGTCCGAATGTACTGGCCGCCTACCTCCATGCGAGCCTTGTAGAAGTCCACGTCGTGCAGCTTCTCTTTGCAGCGAACCAGCTCCATCTCCAGCCTCTCCACGCGGTTCGCCTTCTCCCGCAGGGAATCTAGCTCATCTCGGTAGGCACGTGCAGAACGGGCGTCCGCAGCCAGCTGGATGTTCTGGAAGGTGGACAAAGGCAGGGGAGCCTGGCTTAGGGCACCCCTTTGGAGAGGGAAGAAAGGGCCAAGTCCCTAAAACATGGTGTCTCCAGGACGTCCCAAGAAAAGCCAGTGCCTAGTGGCCAAGGGGCTCCGTGTGCATGCCACCATGTGGGGTCTCCACATACTGTCACTAAGAAACAGTCATTTCACGGTGGTTCTCAGGACAACTGGCTCTGGGGCAGCTCTGCTGGAAGCACGTGATGTTGCATTCCTGACCACGTTACTGGGACATCCCACCCCGCCACCTCCTGGTTACACAGCATGGCCTTCCGCTCACCTCCTGCTTGACTTTCTGCAGCTCCAGAACCAGCTGATCTACCTCGTGTCTGGTGTCCACAAGCTGCTCTGTCTTCTCCTCCCTGCAGAGGTGAGTAGGAGGAAGAGTGTAAGGAGTAGGGAGGGGGCTTCCCTAGGCAAGCCACTGGGAGCAGGCTACCACTTCCCAAAATCACAGTGGGAAAAGGAAGGGACCCAGGCTTCTGCGGGTACAGAGGAGATCTGTTTATGGGGCCTGCAAGAAGGCTCCCAACTCAAGATTCTTTTCTCTTTTTACCTTTTCAACACTTGTCCTCAAACTATATCCACCAACCATCCGGGTTTCCCTCTGAGTGTGCGGGATGGGTAAGGAGATCCCAGCCACAGCTGTACCACTCCACAGCCAAGCAGCATGGGCCTGCTGATGGCAAGGTAGAGGCAGGTGGCTCCCCAGATGACAAGCCAAGTGACATTCACCAGCTACAGGAAACTCAGGAGAACAGGTTCCCTCCAGCCAAGAAACGCACCAGTGTGTGCTCATTCCAGCTCCAAACCAGACCTGACTGTGGACAGCAGTCTATTTCTGCTGATGGTCTATAACGTTCAGCCTGGCAGGAGCCCCAAAGACCGGGAAGCACCCCTCCCTTCCTGTGCAGGCCCAAGGAGGACAGACAATTGGTCACCAGTCAAAGGGGGAGCTCACAGCAGATGCAGCTGCCTCCCAGCCCGCGGCAGAGCTGGTCCATCTGCAGCCCTGCACATGCGAGTGAGCCTCACAGTGGCAATGTGTCTCTGCCACACCACACAGGAGGAGGGACCGCAGCCCAGGATGGGACTCACAGCTCCTGCCGGACGCGCCGCAGCCGGGCCTTGGTGTCAGCCAGCTCCACAGCCAGGTGCTGCTTGTCTTCGCCGGAGAGGCTGCTGGTGGGGCTGGGGGTGGAGTCGGCACTGGAGGACTTGCTGGGGCTGGGGGGATGCTGCGCCTGCAGGTAGTCACGTTCCTGCGTCAGGTCCACAATCAACTGCAGTGGGCAGAGCAGGTACGGTCACTGGCATGCTCCTGGGCCCAGCATGGTGCCTGAGCTCAGACTGGGTAAAAAACCCACCAAAAGACAAGAGAAGATTTCAACTAAGACTGACAAACTGGGAGGGAGGCAGCAGAGGCTGATAGAAGTTTTTTAAAAAGGTGAAATATTGAGTGGGACGAAGAGGACTGCATGGGTGGAGGAAGGGGCCCAAGCTGGGCATCCTGATCAATGTCCGTCCTCCCACATCATCTCCTAAGGGACATTCACTGTAAGGGCCAGAACCAGGGAGAGCAGCTGTGCCCCACCCCCACCAGGATCCAACCAGCAGGACTGGGAGGCGTCCAGGCTCAAGGTGGAAAGAGGAGATGAAAGAGAGTGCTCGTGTCTCTCGTGCCCCAGGCCACTGGTCATGGACGCACCTCTGTGCACTCGTCCCGCTCATCAATGAGCCTCCGGAGGTGGAACACCATGTTCCTCGAGAGGGCCTCTAGCTCCTCCGGGGCCACATCTGGCAGTTCCAGCCACTGCAAGTCAAACACGTTCTCCTGGTTGTGGGTCACCTGCGGGCACACACAGTACAGCTGCAGAGACCCCGGGTGCTCCTGAGAGTGCCTGCCTGGCCATGGCCATGCGGCCCAGGCAGAAGCTGCTTGACTCGCACACCGTGGACAGTGTGTCATGCCACCGACATGATTAATCCCTCGTTGACAAGTTTTCTGCAGCGAGCAGCAGGGCTCCTTGTGCAAGTTTAGCCAAGCTCTTTGGTGGAGCTCTAGTAATACAAACCACTTCTGCTTTCAAAACCAGTTCAAAAAAGGACACTGACTTTTTTTACTATCAGAAAGCAATTCCTATGATTATTCCCCTAAAAGGTCCAGGGACAGTAAGATATTTTCACTGGAGCTACATCAAGTTAAAATGCAAAGAAGGTAAAGCTCAGGGTGGGAGGTGAGAGGAAGGGACTGTATGTTATTAAAATAAAATCTAATGCAAATAGAGCAAAACGTGATGAACGTTATGTCAGAATGCTGGGCACGCAGCAACTGTGAGTGAGTTTCATTTTGGGGAAACTATTCATAATCTAAAACAATTTTCAGGTGAGCCTGGATCTCAACCCCCCCCCCCCCCCA